GACCCTTCTGGTATGGCTTTAAGTAGTTAGACGAGCAGTCTATCTCTAACTGAGATAGTGCGGCAGATTGCACTTAGATACCAATAGGGTGGCCAAGTGATGCTAGGCTTAAGTATTGAGAAATTCTATGTAATTATAATTGTAAATAGTTTCAAGAATCTTAATAAAGTACTAGCATAACTGCTTAAGAAAAAAAAAAAAAAAAAAAAAAAAGTTTAGCAATAATAAAAACTAAAATAAATTTAATTAAACTTGCTTATTTGTTTATCTACATATATATTTGGTTATTTATCTATTTATATGTTGTTGTGATCAACAAATTTACAATTTTAAATTAAAAAAATTTTTTTATTCAAACTAATTTTTTTTTTGGTTTTTTTACTATAAAACTTATTTTTTTTTTTATACTTGTTATACATTTTTTTGCAAGCTTTATTTTTTTTTTTAAGTCTGTAAAATAAATTTAAATAATTATTTTTAAAAAACTTTCTATGTCTGTGCCAAAATTTTAATATTTATACCTATGCTTATATCTAAGTTTTTTAAAATTTTTATGCCTTATCCATGCCTAAATTTTTTTGAAACAAACACTGTCTAGAGTGCAAAACCCTAATCTTAACATACCCTAAAATTTATATACTTTTCAGGCCTACCGAAAAATTAATTAAAATTAATTTTTGTTATACGTCATACAATTAAAATCATCATGAAATTAATTGAAACCCAATTAGTGACGAAATAATTGCAATTAATTGCAATTAATAACATAGTTGCGATAAATCATTATTTGTGACAAATAATGATTTACTAATTAAACGTATTAGTGAACTCTTATTCGTCACGTAAATAATTCATCACACAAAAATTGCAATTAATTGACTCATTGTGACTGCGCCATCAATCAATTAATTGAGTTCAAAATATTGCAATTAATTGCCCGCACAATCAATTAATCGGTAGGCCTGATACTTTTACCAACTTTTACTATAATAACGTGCGATCTTATTGGTTAATTTTAAGATATGTTTATATGTATCAAAAAAGTAGAAAAGTACCTAATATATGACGATCAATATTAAACAGGAGAAAACGTTGATGTTACACACGGTGTGAAACACAAAAAAATTTTTTTGTGTTTCACACCGTGTGTAAAATCAATTGTGTAACATCAACGTTCCCTCCTGTTTCAATATTACTAATATTTTTGCTCTAATACATTTACGTATACGATATATAGGTATATTGCACCCCGGGAGTTAAACTTAAGCGTCACGCAGGGGTGCAGGATCTAAGTTTATCAGTACACCTAACCCCAGTTTTCTAGACTGTTTTTGCGATATAGCACCCTAGTGTTGAACACTCCTGATATAAATTATAAATATTCATTTTAAATTTGGTTACTATTATTAAAAACTTACTGGCCCGTGTCTTTACGCTATAGAATATAAAATTAAAACTAAATTATATTTAATTTTTAGTTTAAAAAATTATATATTTAAAACTTGGTACTTATAGTTTATGCTAACTTGCATTAATAAAAAAATGGTTATTAAACAGATATAAACTAAAAATAAAATCAATAAACATTAGTGAATAAATACACTACTAAACAAATAACACTATATAAATTAACCTACCAATTGCCAAACACCTTTTGCAAACTGAACAATCTCATTAGCACCCATCTTACTTTCACCATAAACACGGTCAACAAATGTAATAGGAACTTCTCCGATTGTATATCCAAATTGACGTGCACGAACCATCATCTCCATTTGGAATACATAACCTTTTGAGATTACTACGGACATAATTTTTGCCAATACTTCCTTTTTATATAGTCTGTTTCGTTAAAAAGTTAAGACATAAATAGTTTTTTTTTGATCTATATAAAATACGTCCAAATATTGCCTTAATTACACACCTGAAGCTGCCAGTTAGGTCACTTACACCAGGGCGAAGGAGCGTTGAGGCAAGAAAATTTGCACCTCGGCTAATTAGAAAGTAAATCAGGTTTAACATCATTTATATTTCCATTTTTTTATATGCAAGTTAAAATAAGTTTGATTCATTGCCTTATTATTTTACGTTTGAGATTCCATCCATATACACCACCATTGCCAGCATATCGTGTTCCAGTGACAATATCATAATTGTTGCTTTTCTGAAGTCTAGGATGCATTAATATAAATTTCAATAAAGATAACACTCAAGCAAAAGTGTGAATGATTTACCTTATAAATTCCGGAATGAACTTTGGCTGAAGACAGATTAATAAAAGATACAGTAATGATCAATATAGGGTTGTTAATGGAGTACTCAAAAACATATAACCACTTCTGGAGTAGGTTATATGTTTTGTTATAGGCTGGAGCGCTTCATTATAACATAGCAAATAACTTACATGATGAGAAAAATCTGCATCCATTATGATAACAAAATTCCCGGTGACATACTGTAACCCGTGAACATAGGCAGTTCCCAGACCAAGCTTTCCAGGCCGTGGCTTTAAAAGCTTTTACAGCAAATTTATAAAATTTGAGTTATTACGTTCCGTAAGCATTTCCTAGATAAAAACCATAAATTCCAGATGACAGAAAGTATTACAATGTGTTCCGAGCCATACACGGTTATAAGCTGCTTTGCAATGTCCTGAGTACCGTCCGGCGACGCGTCATCGACGATTATTACCTCCCAATCTAGATCACTATAAAGAAATTTAATGATGCGAAATTTAAGTTAGATGTAACGGTTCTTAGAGAATACGTACTGCTCTTTAAAAGTTTTAGCCAGAAGCCAAATGATCACTGGTAAATTTCCGCGTTCGTTATAAGTCGGAAGAATGACGCTATATTTATCCTCGGTGGCGTCTGAGGCAACTTTTACTGACGAGAACATGACGAAATTTGGAATTTTATACCAATAAGCGCTAGCACTAAGGTAAGGAACCAGTTTAAGTAGGGCCAATATTTGTGATCTACACGTGGACGTTTGTCGGATCATACGTATGTATAGAAAAACAATCACCAGTAATAGACAAGGTTATACATAATACAGAATAATAAATATATTATGCATCCGCATATACCATCAAACTATCCATATTATCTGGTAATTATTTACAAGGGAGGGTGGTTTGGCTCGCAAAATACCATGGCATATTGCCAAAACAATCTGAATATAAAATAGTCTTACTCAAAATTATAGTAAATTATTATTTTTTATATGTAAATCAATATTATATGTAAATCTATATCAAAACTTCAAATAGATATTTAACCTTAACAGTATTATATTTTGAAATAAGACTTTATAAACATAATACGTATTAAACTCTCTACAATCATTAACAAAATTTTGAATTTTTCATAATTAAAAGCAGGAATAAATGTAATTTTGATTGTAGGAGTTTAATATTATGTTTTACAAAGTCTTATTTCAAAATATAATGCTGTTAAGGTTAAATATCTATTTGAAGTTTTACTATAAAATTGAGTTGTTACAATGTTACACAGAAATTCATATAGTAATACGGTCGAGACGGCACCACTAGACAAAAGAAGAAATGTGTTACAAAGGAATTCGAAATGCAAGTAAACAGGTTAAAAGAATGTAGTAATTTAGCTTATTGGGTTGGTTTATTTATTATTTTGGACACAAGTTAACAACTTTATTTATTATTTCTTAGGGCAGGTTTCACGAAAACGTTTAATGGTTACAAGGTCAAAAGATCGAAAAGATAGTTTTCTTTAAATAACTCAGCTGTATTTAACGATTTAGTAATTACATATAGTTCTATAGTCACAACCTACGTAGAAATTTCACCTTCTTGGTAAGGTACCTCTAGGTGCGGGATTATTTGGGATTAATTTGCATAATGGCTGTTGTCACTTCTTCGAAGATAGCGATGAGTTTAATTTTTATTTTTTACTTGTGAAATGTTACATTCTTAAAAAGTACTTTAAACTGTATAAATACAATTGTAAGTGATTGACCAATCAGAAGAAAGCTATCCTATATGATCGGATCCTTATGTGGATCCGGATCGGCGGATCTTATAAATCATGGTTCTGAATCCGATTCGGATCGGATCTGCGGAACACTAACTAGCACTAAACAAATTAGCCTAAACTAAATGTAATCGCATGAGCCTAAACTAGGCCGGCTTTCTTGAACAGTACGTACTCGGGAGTACTATATACAGCGCTATACGGAGTATCGCCTTCAACATTTAATTTTTGAACAATCTGTCTACACCTTTTTTCGTTTTTAATTTATTTCGCCTATATCTTTTTTTAGGATTTAATTTATTTCGCCTACACCTTTTTTTAAGGTTTAATTTATTTTATTGGACGGTTCTTGAAAAATTTTTTTTAAAAAAAATAATAATAAAAAATAAAAGATATAACTTTTATAAAATTAAAGTTGGTGTGTTTTTTACATTTTTGCGTGTACAATCTTAAACAAATTTTCAGGGTCATTATGAGCATTAGCAACGAACAAAGTATGTCTACCCTGAGCTACCACTTTTCTATCGGCTTTATTGCGTATCTCTACAATGGTAAACGCGAGGTTTTTACCAAGCTTTATACATTCTGCATCCTAAGAATAAGATAATGACGACAAATTACTAATTAAGCCGTTGTATGAAAAATCTCTTAGGGAGAAAAAAGATTTACCATAAGTAAAGTATCTCCATTTCCAACTGAACTGAGATATGAAATATTTATATCTGTACTACTTCCTGGATTGTGCATTCCTTTAGAGTATACAGCTAGCATTCCACAAACGTCAGTCATCAATGCCAACATTCCTCCATGAATTAATTGTCTGCGATTCTATTGCATTAATTGTTAAACTTTTTAATCGAATTGATTCAACTTAATTTAAAATATTAGAATAAAGACTTCTTATACCAGATGATGTTCTTGAATAAGCATTTCAGCGCTAATTTTACCATCTGCCGTATTTGTTATTACCAGCTGATTTTTTTTTTGCAAAAAAAAAGTGAAATGGAATATTACTCATAATAATATATATCAAGTGCATCAAGTTTATTCGAAAAAAATACTAAACATCTTTCATAAGATTATCAAAAGTTGTTCCATCCTTGAGATTTCGTTGAAACATTTTGCGAACCCAAATCGTCCTATCATCGGTAATTTTTGCTGATTTCATAATTCAAATGAAAGCCTGTAAATAATTTATCATAGACTTGTCCGTGAAATATTCTTTTATATATAATGTTATAGAAATCAAAAATATATACATTGCCTGTCCCCCCTAAGATAATGCAAATGCAGGTCCACACATATTTTACGTACAGATGCATATTTGTAGATCGTTGCATACCTATACCTGATTGCTGCCAGAATGTGTAATTGTAAAGTATTTTTTTGATCAAAGATTCTAGTTGTATAGGTTTACGAAGTTGCATCAATATTAAACCTCTTTTATTAATAAATCTAACCCTAAATTCTAACTTAACTATAAAAAAAAGCCGACAAAAAAGTCAAAAAAATTCTAAAAATCGTGCATAAAATAGATCCAATTTTCACAATTTTACTACAATCCATCACTAATTAAGTTATTGTTAAGTTGTTAATTGATCATTGTTAGAGTTGTTAATTGGGTTTTTATTAGTACTACTTGTTGGTTAGGCTGTTGTTCGTGCTAGTTATTAAGTTTGTTATATCATTATTAATGCTAATTAATGGATTTTGTTAACTATATTATTGTTAGAACTATTAAACTAATAAGATTATTCTAACGTATAGGTACACGTAACACTATAACATGTACCTATACGTTACAATGTAATAATAAAAATATAAATAGATTATTCTTTAGTGTTTTTGATTAAATTAATATTTATATAGTTGTTTAGATAGCTGCTAGTATTTTTTTTTAGATTGCTACTAATATTGCTAAATTGTTATTTAGATTTTTGTATAGTGCTATTGAGTAGATACTAAAAGTTTGTTATTGAATGCCTTAGAAACATAATAGTTTGGTAGAAAGCTTATAGTTTTTTTAACATTAATGAGAAAAATGCTATATTAACTTTAGTAGAAAACATATTGCAAACTTCAAATAGTAACTACTCTTAAGCTTTAACAGCTTTAACAGCTTTAACCTAGTTACACATTAACATAATCTATGAAATCTAATGTTAATACATCTTATTAAAATAGAGAAATTTAGATAATCTTTTAACTTTAAGCTTTTTAATTAGAAATTATATTTCTAAAGAAATATGTATATATTTTAAAGAGCAATTTTTTTAGTAATAAGTTTAAATTCTTTAAACTAATTTGTAAATATTTAAAAAATATCTAAACTGTTTTTAATATATTAATAAAAAAATGTCAGCTATGCTCTTAGTTGCAAATATTATCATCAAATTTTTAAAAATACTATATATTGATAATAATATTCATATTATTATTAATATATAGCATCTCTATAAGGTATTATATATTATAAGTAATTATAACAATATATAACAAAATTTTATCAAATTTACTAAATCTTTTATATTAATTTTTTCAATAACTATTAATTTAAATTAGCACAAATTTTACTGTAAATAGTATATATGTTTAACTATATTATACTAAAATTTTAGCTAATTTAGATTAATATTTTAAAAGAAATCACTTATAAATAATAATTAAATTTTTACAAAAAATTAATTATAGTTTACAAACAATTTCTTATAAACTATTAATCTAAATTAGCTAAAATTTTAGTATAAAATAGTTGAACATATATGCTATCTATAGTAAAAATTTAAACTAATTTGAATTAGTAATTATTGAGAAAATTAAAGTCAAACTTTAAAATAATTTAATAAATTTTATAAAAATTATTACTAATCAATAGTAATAATAATTATTTTATATCATTATATAGGGTATATCAATAGAAACTAAGCAAATTTTTTTCAAGTAAATTTTTTTTAAAACTTAAAGTAAAATATCTTAACAATTATTTAACTAAATTTAATAAAAATTATTTTATTTTAATTTTATATAAGATAGATATGCCTAATTTAGTATGGTGTCTAATTTGGCATATAATGATATCTCAAGAACTATCAATCAGATTTATATAATTCTGATACTATTTAATTCATCTTATTAAGACATATTAAATAATATTTAAATTATGCGATTTTAATTATTAGTTTTTAAGATATTCTATTAAACCAAAATAGCTCAAGATAGAGTTATCTAATTTGATGCAAGTAAATATTTACAATAAATATTATATGATGTATCAATTAGAAATACAAGATTTTGGCACTATTCAATTCATCTCATTAAGATGAATTGAATGCTATCAAAATTCTGCAATTCTGATTAATACATTACATGATATTTATTGTAAGTGTTATACTTGTGTCAAATTAAGCATATCAAATTAGAAACATTTTTTTGAACAATATTAATAAGCAATATCTTATAATTTAGTAATTAGAATTAAATGATTTTGGTACCATTTAATTTGTCTTAATGAGATGAATTGAATGATACTAAAATTATTTAGTTCTAGTTAAAATATCATGTAATATTTATCAAAAATGTTGGCTGTACCAAATTAGGCATATCTATTTTAGTTATAAAATTAAAAAAAAATTTATTAAAGTTGGTTTAATAATTGTTAAGATATTTTAATTTAAAATTTCAAAAAAACTCACTAAAAATAATTTGCTTAGTTTCTATTGATATATCTCTATATATATATATATATATTTTTTTTTTTTAACATATAAGCAGTCATGCTAGTACTTTATTAGGGTTTTGGAATTACATTTGTAACTATATAAATATCTCTAATATCTAAGTCTAGCATCACCCAGCTACCTTAATGGTACCTAAGTGCAACCTGTCGCATTACTTCAAACAGAAGTAAGCTGCTTGTCTGACTACTTAAAGTCTATAATAAAAGGTCTTCTCTCTTTTATAACAAGCCCTAACATTGTCTTTATTACTTCTTTCTCAACTTGCTTCTCTTTTTCTCTTAATTCTTCTTTTTTCTCTTCTTTTTCTTTCTGATTTTTCTTTTCTCATTTTCTTGGTTTCTTTAAATTTTTACTTTTTTTTCTTTTAATTCTACCTGTTATTCTACTCTTTTTCTTCTATTCGATAATTTTTTCACAATGTATTCTCTATACTTGTTCGTAAAATGTGTTCTAGACTGTTATTGCTATTGTATTTGCAAACTGCTGTCTTGATCTTGTGTTTAATAACTTCACTAGTTTGTCTTGCGTTTCTCTTGGAATTAAGCCTTTTATTAATGCTTCTCTTATTTTAACTTCCTCTGTTTCTGTTTTTTCGAAGAACACTGTATACAACACATGTGAAAGC